TGCATGGCTTCTACTCCTAATTCTACCTTGAAAGGGCTTCGTTTCGGCCTATGGAATCTCAGTTCTGTAAAAGTCTTTGAGAGCATAAAGAGGGCCTTATAATTCATAGAGAGGGTCTTAGAATTCAAACTAGATATCGGATGAAAGTGGTATGACAACCTCAAACCCCGGTCCCATGGGGAGAGTTTTCTATTTGAGTTACGGAAAAGAAAGGAGAAAGGACTTTTGAAGCTTGCTGCCTAGGGTTGGAAGCTAAATTCAGTCTTATAATAACATAAGAAAGTCGTGGAGTGCATAAGCCCCTTTAGAGATAGGGGCTACTTTCTTGTGGTAGTCATTGCGAATGAGCAAGTAGGGGGCGGCAACTAAAGAGGTAGCAAGACTGACCGCAATTGCAGGAATAGGTTGACTTTCTTTCATTTTGGTTATGGATCCTCTTATTCTTTCTACGATAATCCAAACTGCAGCTCCACGAGTCTGCTCGGAACCAGTCGATTCCTGAGCCATTCGTTCTCCCCTCTCGGTTGGCCTTTGCCAGCCACTAGAGCAAGTAAGAGAACCTACAGTGAATGAACTTAAAGAACCGCAGATTTTGACCGGATTGTACACCTTTGTGTCTAGCTATGTATATGGATGTGCATAAAGAAGGGACGGGGCATCTCTATCCTTTTTTGGGGGAAGAGAGAGGGAAGAAGCTGCAGCGGCACCTCACGAACTTCTTACTGGAGCAGTACTATAGCCATTTTCGAGTGTTTGGATGCACGTCTTTTGTTCATATTCCTGCGCAGTTAAGAGAGAAATTGTCCCCAAGGAAACCACTTGTGTCTTTCTTGGATATGCTCAGTCCGGGTATAGACGCTATGACGTGAAATCCAAGAGACTCGATGTATCCTTGAATGTTCTCTTTAATGGGGGCGCTTCTTTCCTTAACCTAATTAATCAGCCCCGGGGGAGAATGATGATGGAGATGTATTGCGGCCTTCTCCTGTTCATCAACTCTAACCGCATTCTTCTGCAGTTGATGTTACGGATCAGCCTCACGCTTCAAGCCAGTAGCTTTGCTTAGTATCTTCTGCCGATTGTCAGCCTGTTCAGCTGACCTCAGAGGATTCCAGCCACCCGGCACAGCATGTTTATTCTCGGCAGCGATTACAGTCTCTTTCCCAGGGTCAGACTACTCCATAAGATCAGCATTCTAGCCCAGTTGCCTCCCTTTTAGGCGCTTCCTCTAGTTAAAGAGTGAATTCAGGAGTTCCAGGCAGGCAATACACGCTAGGAGTTCCCGCCAAGTATCCAACTTTAGCCCTCACTCTCTTAATTATGAGTTACTCTTTGAACCCCGGGGAGGTGGTAAATCCCAAACCACATGCTGAGGCTACGGGTTGAACCAGGAGAAGCATTCACCTAAGGATGGATAAAACACATCCTGCCTGCAGGATACCATGTCCAACCTGCCAGGTTCCCTATGACTATGAAGTAAGGTATAGGTTGTTTCCAACAACAACCAGAGAGACTTCATTTCTGGGGAAGAACATTGAGTCTTCCGAATAGCAACCTATAAAAAGAAAAAAATTGAAAACTTGAAATGATGAGTTCAGTTAAGAATCTCTTTTCCGCATAAACTGGTAGTAAATATAGTCATTCAAATCTCTCTGTTAGAAAACATCAGCGGTTTCGGCATTGGTAAGCATTCCTTTAGCAAGCCCCGTAGCTTGAAAGAAAGAAAAAAAGCTGGCAAGGGACTCACTTATGAAACATAGTTGAAAGATGTTTTTATTTTGGATCATTGTTAAGTGGTAAGGATAATGACAAGCTGGCTCTCGGAAGTAACTACAGCGTACATGTATGATGAGAATGACAATAAAAAAATAAAATAAAGAAAATGGCTAACAATATGAAAATGTTTCAAGATCTAATGTATAGTACTACATCTTTTGAAAAGAAAGAAATATTCTACCGGTAATAACCAATGAAGACTTGGGCCTATCAAGCCTGCTTTCCTCGATGAAAGCCCACAGAAGGGCCAAAAACTTAAACCCATCATCAAAGCAAGCCCAAGTCTTCATTTGTAGGACTTTCTTTGATGGTTCATGTAAGCTTGGGTCTTTCATTCGGGCCCTCCTGGGGCACCCTGTGGGCCAATGCGTATAAGCTTGGGCTTTATTAACGTGGCTCATTTGACGACTCAGTACATGGATGTCACGAGTCCATTGGCATAGAATATGGAATCTTTTCCACGTAAGCTGGTTGTACAAAGCTTGTTTGTTCATATAGGCAGTGTGATTTGGGGATCTTTTGTTTGCTCCGCAAGGTAGCCAGAGCCAGCCAGTTTTTCACTAAATAGGCATAAGAGTATTTGAACTGCAGAAAAGTAGTGCGGAGAACTAGTCAGAATTGGGCCTGCCATCCAATTCGTGACATGGATGATCCGCCGAATCCAATGTTGACTTCACCACGATCGATTAGGTGAAACGGTTCTGCAAAGTTTGTTTGTTCATACAGGCAGCGTGGTTATAGTAGTTGCCAGCCATACAATTCGTACTGCATGGCGAGATTCCTCTACCACTCTATAAATGGAGGCTCGATAAGTGTCTTCACTTCATCAAATTCAAATCAAAGAAATTGAGTACTTGCACGTATGGCTATGGATGCTGCAAATAGGCTTTCTGCAATTGCTGCCGAAAAGGGGCAACTGCAAAATGAGATTGAAGAGCGCCGTAGAGTGCTAAACCTCTTTTTTAGGAGTGTGAGAACACTGGATCCCACCTGGAAAGAAGCGCGCATTCGCGCTGCCAGAGAGCGTATCGAGGATTTGGAGGGGAGGCAGCAAGCGCTGCGGGCGGAGCAGCAAGCACTCATAGTGTAGGCTGTCACCCACGGGCACCGGGGAGACTAGAAGAGTCCGTCGACTCTTTTTCTTTTTAGAAGGTTTCAATAAGTGTCTGTAGACGCAAAGTAGGGTGTTTTAATGCATTTCTTTGGCTTTGTTTAGTAGAGATCTACTCCGATGCTTACTGGAGTCCTATTTATGCTAACTATCTTAGTTTGGTTTTCTTTTGTATGTTTGCATGTATGGGAACCCTAGTAAAAAATGTTTACTACTTATGCTTTTAGAAAAAGAAAGACTTCTTCGTGCTGAAAATTGAGTTCTTTCCTTTTTTTCTTTCTATAGTGGAGATAGTCGCACGTAATGACAGACATATTATGAAATTGTGGTAAGAACGGGTTTCGTTCTAGTGCCCGATAAGAATATTCCAAAGCTTTTGTATGTTATCCGTTACAGATACAGAACCGTACGTGAGATTTTCATCTCATACGGCTCCTCCCTTATGTGCATAATGAAAAGCAAATCATATATCTAATAAATAATAAGAAGCTTTCAATATTCTAATTATAAATTTAGTGGTAGTGGGGCTAGTGTTTTTAAAAGAAATCTCTAGCCTGCGAAAGATCTTTTTCTTTTTTTTAGTATCAAGCTGTTGATACTAGATAAAAGGTAACTCCAAAAATTTATTTGTCCCCAACGCCCCTTAATTTAAAGGAATTATAAACTTAAAAAGTTTTTTATGGTTCTACGGGTATCCAAAGTACGAACGAGATGGATGTTTGTTGTCCCAACCATTCTTTTGAATCCCGATCCCGATAAGGAAAGGGGGTAATTTCTAACAAAGTTTTAGTTTTTTCCTAGGCGTAGTGCTTCTTTTCTTCTTCTTCTATGCCGCCTATTGGTACTAGTGCAGTAGAGTTGGCCTACAATAAATAATCCATAGGTGTAACCTCAATACTAAAATCGACAATTGAAGCATCTAAGGCTGCATTAATCGGGAATACATGACAGCATATGGGGCAGGTCGGCCTACAACCGTCGACCTAGAAAGCTAGTAACTCGGATCTAGGACTAGGAAGGGAAGGCAACTACCTGAGTTCAGGGTCTGTTGGTTTAGAAGTTCTATATTGAAGTTTCGTAGTGAGATATTTCAGTTAGGTAGTGCTCCTTCTCGAATACCAGACTGAGAGTGGGAGATTGACATCCTTTCAATCTTGGCTAAGAGGACTATTCAAATCCTGGTGAAGTAAAGGACTATGAGAATTCTCAAGTCGATGCGAATATAGGGCCATTTTGATGCGGGAATTGTGCAAAATGAGACTTTCAAGGAGATAAGGCAGGGAAGCCATTAATGGTATTTCATTCGAAGTGGTGTATTTCAAGTTGGACAGTTAGGGAATTCAACCATGGCACAGCCAGAATATGGGGCCAGAAATTGCAGAGGAGCAGGATCCGAAGCGGTGGCTGCTACAAGAATGGAATATTCCATAGCATTCGCTTCTGAAAGAATTTGAACTAATTGTGCCACAGTTGAGCGTTTCTGTCCAATCGCTACATAGACACAATACAATGTCTCACTCTCAGAGGTGCTCCTTGAGTTCATTTGCTTTTGGTTTAATATGGTATCGATAGCAATAGCTGTTTTTCCAGTTTGTCGGTCCCCAATTATAAGTTCTCGTTGACCACGGCCTATAGGAACCAGGCTATCTACCGCTTTTAACCCAGTTTGCATAGGCTCGTGCACAGATTTACGTTCAATAATCCCAGGGGCTTTCACTTTGACACGTCTTCGCTCGTGATCGCTTAGAGCCCATCTTCCATCAATAGGTACTCCCAAGGCGTCGACCACATGCCCTAGCATAGCCTTTCCCGCAGGGACATCCACAATAGAGCCAGTGCGCTTGACAAGATCTCCTTCTTTAATAGCAGTATCACTACCAAAGACAACAATCCCTAAATTCTCATTCTCAAGATTCAAGGCTATTCCTTTCACACCGCTGGCAAATTCAACCATTTCCCCAGCTTGAATCTCGTTCAACCCATAAACACGTGCAATCCCATCTCCAACTGAGACCACTCGACCAATCTCATCCACTTGAAAATTCGTGTAAAAGTTGCTAATTCTACTTTCTAATAGAGTCGTTAGTTCAGCAGCTCTCGGAGAGAATTCCATGATTCTATTTATTTTGGGCTATATATAAGGGGGAATACCGCTTTCAATTTCAAAGAGCTCTATTTCCGCCTAAGATCTATTCTTATAGATCAGATTCGAGCTTGTACTACTAGAACTAGGAGTTGAGATAGGGCGGAACACCAACACAATCCTTTGTTAAATGTCTGCGAGCTCCTTCTTCTTTCGTGAAAGCATACGAGTCGTTATGTTAAGCATCTAATCCTAGTCTTTATGTTATCTGTGTTAGAGGACTTAGATGTCCCTCATGTTAAAAAGTCTGACATCAAGTTGTTAGGACCTGAGTCGCTATGCGAACACTTAACACAAGACTGAAATCAAGCTAGAGTGGTTTATGAATCAGTCATCAAGGATCTTAGCCAAACGGTGACCGGCTACGTAAGCACTTTGGGCGCAGGTTTCTCGATCGGACTTGACGAATTGTCATAAAGACATCACTCTGCTTTATATATATAAAATAAAATTGGATTATAAAATAAGATTCAATTAATTAGAAGCATTCGCAGTTTTCAGTTCGTTTGTCATCATCTAAAAGAAAAAGAAAAGAGAAAACTAAAGTCATTTTGAAAGCTGTAATTTTACACTGAAGCTTTTCCCTTCGAAGAGTTGATCTTTCATTTCAAAAGTGGTCTCTCCCCAATGGAGAAATGATGCTAGCCCTTTTTCCTTCGATGACAGAGATTGAAATGGATAAAGTGGATTCTCCCTAATGGTGAAATGAGACTGATTTCAGTGATTGAACTGATGGTAACTAGCGAGCAATCTTACTCAATAGGGGCTTTCCATCTTAAAAGCCTTCCTTCTTGCTTGCTTGCGAGAAGGCTTTCTTGCGTTCTTGCTTAGCTGGGGAGGCAGTGGACCAATAAGCTAGCTGTCCCAACCAAGACAGGAGCTAGCCTCTTATCTTAAAGGCTATCGATTTCCTCCTTGAGGAGCAAGGAAGATCAGAGGTCACACTGGAAAGCTATCAACTAACCTGTAAGAAGACTCTTTCTTTGGGCTTCTTCTTAGTTCGTTAGGTAGTTGCCTAGAGCTATTAATAGACTGAAAGGGGAAGAACGACCAGTCTTCCTAGCGATGTACAATTCTTTTGGTATATGAAATCTCGATGTCTAGGTCAATTCAATATCGAACAGAAAGGTAGCAATTCTTTTGGCACAGTCTTTTGGTATATGCAATTGAGAAGCCAAAGTCAGATAGAAGGGCTTGCCTTCCGCACTTTCGTATACCAAATACGAATTGAGAAGTGACTTTGTACAAAAGTACATTGTACCATCAGTCAATCAAATTTCTCCTATCCATTTTGAACTTGATTTTGTACCAACTAAACCTAAGCCAATAGAGCGTCTTGCCTTCCTCCTATCCATTTTGAACTTGATTTTATACCAACTAAACCTAAGCCAATAGAGCGTCTTGCCTTCGCAATATCGAAGGAGAAATGTTGTCAATGCTTTCATAGATGCCATACAACCATCCCTTCCCCTCCTAGTCCAAGAAGAGCTTCCCCTCCTTCCAGGCCCTAAAAACCTTGCTTCCTAAGCATACTGATAAAGAATTAGCAGAGTCGTCTCCCTCCTCCTAAAAGAGAGAAGCGGGCTAACCCAAGAGAGGGACCAGCCATAATTGCTCTTAAGGTTAGTTAATGGCTTTCAAGGGCTGAGGGACATTAGCCACTCTCCTGCTCGTACCTCGCTAACAACCGTCAACAACCAGTGTTGCAACAACTCCTAAATCAATAGGGCCATAAAGACTAGTCCTACTTGCCCTAGAGATTAGTTAATAGCTTCAAAGACTGGCAGGAAGTCATACAACCTAGCTCTCCTTACTTGATAGTGGGTCGGATAAAGGGTCTAGTAAACTAGCTGAGTCATTCGAGAGGCTTCAAACTTGGCTAAGCCTTCACATAAGCGGGACTGCTTGCATGTCCATCATTAGATTTGCGGGGTAGTGGAGGGAGTGCTTCCTCTCCTTAATAGTCGAGCTCTTTCTTTCCTCTCAAGGAGCATGAGCGGAACGGAACGGTATCAAGTCTATTAGTTGGAGAGGTCGTACCGTCGAGCAAGTTGGGGAGCTCGACTAAAGCCGACCTGAGGGAGGCCTACAACCGTCGGTCTAGAAAGCTAGTAACTCGGATCTAGGACTAGGAAGGGAAGGCAACTACCCGAGTTCAGGGTCTGTTGGTTTAGAAGTTCTATATTGAAGTTTCGTAGTGAGATATTTCAGTTACGTAGTGCTCCTTCTCGAATACCAGACTAAGAGTGGGAGATTGACATCCTTTCAATCTTAGCTAAGAGGACTATTCAAATCCTGGTGAAGTAAAGGACTGTGAAAGCTATACTAGATGACTTTTGTGAAGCGTCGGGGGGCCTCCAAATCCAGGATTTTATTCTCACGTAATGTGCACCAAAAGGAGATCAGCGATTTTCTTTAGTTCCAACAAGGGATGCAAGCAAAGCAAGGAAATAAGTCCCTCGCCCGAGAGGCTACTTTGTCTTGCCGATAGCCTAGAAAGAAGAGGCATCACGAATTAAGAGCTTCCGACTAGAGGAAACACTTGTACTAGCAGAAGCGCTTGAATTGAAGTAGCGCAGGGCTCCTAGGTGGCGCGTTCGTGGAGGCAACCCGAAGGAAGAGCAAAAAGAAGGTTGGGTGCTTGTGGGGCAAGGCCACCCGGCCTCGAATAGGAGGGGGCTTAGATCTGGATCCTCCCTGCTTGCAAAAATGAATGGATCAGAAGGGGGTTGGATTTTCTATTTCCGGGCCGGGCGGGAGGTGAAGGCCATAAGAGAAGATTGCCCTCCCGGTAAGGAAGAGGGGGAAAAGGCGCTGTCATCTATCTCGACCAGTTTCCCGAGGCGTTGGAAATCCAGACCGGCTCAGAGAATCACTGGTGCTATTTAGCCCTTTGTTTCAACAACAAAGAAGTCATCTTTGACGATTTCCCATTCCTTCCCTGCCGAGCTGCCTCTCTTCGCCATTCGGTGCCTCTGCCTTCCCTTTCTATAACATAGCCAAGCGCCCTCCTTTACAATCACTAAGAAAAAAGAAATACCAATCAAAGCCCTATCGTATCAGTACGTCTCTGTGATTTTTCCGACCCCAGGGGACTTTACTCGACCCATTCCCCAGTCTCCCGCACTGCTCAAGTAAGTGTGCAACTCCGTATGAGGACCTCCTTCCCTTCTGCCGACTCTCCGTTCACACGGTTCTCAAAGCAGAGGAGGAAGGGTGGGCAGCAGGTACCACGAGCCCTCTGTCCCACACATCTATCCAGAAGCAAGTGTAGTTCACCGGTTCCACCGAATGCTCCTATCTGTCGGTAAAGATCGTGTGAGTGTGCAGTTATGCTTCGGATGCTTCGACATAGAATAGATCGACCCAGTTCCCGTTCTTTTCCGGTGCACTCGCTTTATATCTCCGACACACAAGGAAGGACGTGGTGGGAAGGAAGGAGCCCTAGCCTCTGTCCGGCCGATCATTCCGCTGGCATCTCGCATTCACGCCCCCGTTTGACTGCCGCTCGGGGGATGTAGTTGTAGATACGTTAGTCTTAGTGGGTCGTTGGCTCCACTTGTTATCTCCTTCTACGACATGTTGTTGTCGTCGCCATATTCCATATGTCACTTAGTCATCTCTGCCTCGCTGCGGGTCAGCACCTCCGAAAAGAAACGGAGGTTAACTAACTTACGAGTGCCTTATTACAGCGAGTGTTCGCATGACTTGGGACAAACCTCTAGAGTCTTCTCCTCCTTGCCGCTGCTGGTTAGGGGCAATCGACCGATCCACATTTGTTGATACGTATATGGATAGATAGATAGCGACTCTTCCTCTCTCCTGCTAGTAAATAAACTATGGAAATGCACCGGCATGTTTTTTCCCTATCTTAAATTGTTGTCAACCTCCCTACTAACCATAATCTGTAGGATAGTAATCTGTAGGATTGTACACGACAACCTTACCCTCATAGTCCAGAGCAACCATCCTATTGCGACAATAGAGAGGCTCTAGCCCTGGTTCTGTATACTCGATTGAACAAGACAGCCCGAGATCTTGTATCATATCAAATACTTGATATTCATCGATTCTTAGATCATCAGTACATGCTATAAAGACCATACCTATGAATCTTTCAAATGCAATCCCTGGATATTTATGGCTGAACTGCCGGTCGAACTCCATTAAGGTAAGATTGAATAAGACCCTAGTGATTTCTCCAACAATTGGCATACAACCGAAGCATATCTTTCTACCATCCTCATCAAAGGTCTCGAGATTTAGAAAGCTAATAACCAGCTTATAACAAACCGAATCTGCCCCAACAAAGGACTTAACACCATCTAAAACCAGACTCTCAGGAATCAGTTGTAATGATGGATCCATGTTAATCTGGTACAGTCTAGTCACCTTACCCATGTTTTAAATACCATAATAAAAGAGACCTAACCTATCTAATAATCTTTAATTCTCCTTGGGCACATAACCATAAGTCAAACGATAGAAATGGATACTCAATGCCATGAACACCAAGACATCCTCTTTTTTTGATGGAAAAACAACTATATAGTGTGAACTATCTCTGCTTGGATAAAACGTTAAGTCAGGAAAATCAGGTAGCGTTGCAAATAAAAATTCTAGTAGATCATCCCTACTTATTCTCCTGAGCCTTAGCGGAGATAGAGTGTAAAAACCTGAAAGCAATATCTGTTGAAGATTACATAACTCTTTCTTAGATAGATTATATTTCTAAGTGCTTTTTAAATCATTATACAGAAAATCAATATCCTCTGATAGCTGAACTAGCGAACTAGAAATTGTAGAATAATAAGAAGATCTTGCACATATCATAGTCAACTTATAAGAAGATTTGGATTGAATTGTTTCTTGTTTGTTTTTCATCTTTTTACTATTATTTCTTGTAATTCTTGAACTTTCAAAGTACTTATTAATTCTAAATCAGGAGGAGATGAATATGACATCATACC